CCCCCCCCGCCCCCCCCTCGACCACCACATAGACAACCTCTACTTCGACATGAACGGCATCATCCACCAGTGCTCCCACAACAATACTTCCGACGCGCCGCTCCTCTCCGATGACGAGCTGGCTTACGGCGTCTTCGCGGTTGTCAACCGCCTGGCGCATCTTATCCGCCCGCGGAAGATGATCTACCTGGCCCTTGATGGTGTGCTCTTTTTTCCCTGCGCGCCCCTTCGCCGCACACCGCCCGGGCGCTTGCTCACCCCCTCCCCCTCGTGGCCCTGCTCCCGGTCCTCTCGCTCCCGCCCCCGCCCCCGCCCCCGCCCCCGCCCCCGCCCCCGCCCCCGCTCCCCACGCCTCAGGTGTGGCCCCTCGTGCCAAGCTCAACCAGCAGCGCTCGCGTCGCTTCACCAAGGCCCCCCCCCAGTATGACGACGAGGAGGGCGCCCCGGCGCCGGTCTTCGACACGAACTCCGTTACCCCGGGCACCGAGCTGATGGACGACCTCGGCCGGCGCCTGCGGCACCTGATCAACCTGAACATGAACATGGACCCGGTCTGGCGCAATGTCCAGGTCATCTTTTCCGGCACCGACTGCCCGGGCGAGGGTGAGCACAAGATCATGTCCTACATCCGCCAGCTGCGCCAGTCGCCGGACCACGACCCGAACACCTCGCACTGTCTGTACGGCCTGGACTCGGATCTCATCATGCTGAGTCTGGTCACGCATGAGCCGCACTTTTGCCTGCTGCGCGAGCAGCTGCTCCATGCTCCGCCCTTCAACCGGCCCACCAATGCCGGCATCGTGGCATCGACCCTGAGCGGCAGCGCCGCCAAGCAGCCCCTCCCCCCGGTGGCCGGCGGCGACCAGTACACCCTCTTCTATGTGGGGCTCCTGCGGGAGACCCTGGATTTGGAGTTCCGCGACTTGGACCCGCTGATTCGCGAGCACTCTCCCAACCCGGCCGACCGGTACAACCCGGAGGCCATCTACGACGATTTCGTGGCCCTCTGCATGCTGGTGGGCAATGACTTCCTCCCGAACCTGCCGTCGCTCTACATCCCGGAGGGCTCGCTCAATGTCATCCTGGAAACCTACCGCCGCGTGCGCCCCCACCTGGGTGGCTACATCAATGAATCGGGCGTGCTGAATGCCGCGCGCTTGCGGCGCATCTTCATCGAGCTGGCCGACCTGGAGACGGCCTACTTCGATTCGGCCAACCAGGCCAGTCTGATTTCGATCGACCCGCGCGACCGGCTGATGGTCCAGCAGGCGGTCGACTCGCCGGAGCATGCGGCCGCCCTGTCGGCCCTCGGGGCCGGGGGTTCCTCCTCCTCCTCCTCCTCTCGGAAGGATGCTCGGCTGTCGGCGGTGCGTGCCGCGTCGGCCAGTCAATTCCCGCCGGACGTGTCGCACGACCTGCTGGTCGAGGCGCGCAGTGATGCCTCGGTCTCGGATGCCGGGGCGGCCGGCGGGGCCACCTCCGAGGGCGACGGCCTGGGCAGCTCGGCCACCGCCGCCGGCAGCGGCGGTGCTGCTCCCCTGGCCGAGCTCCCGGGGGCCGACGATGACACCAACGCCGCCAACGCCAACAACACCGACGACAGCGAGGATGACGATGATGGCGATGCCTCCATGAAGAGCTTCTCGCCGGAGTTCATGCAGGCCATCCAGTCGGCCCTGGCGTCGGAGCCGCGCCACGCCTCGGCCCCGGACTCCAGCACCGCCTACAAGCGCACGGTCACCTTCATCACCCCCTCGCAGTTGGTGATCTTCAAGCGCCTGCGCAGCTTCTTCCTGCTGCACGGCCTGACCGAGCCGGCGCTCGATGAATACCGCCAGGCCAACCAGCAGATCGCCTTCCCGGCCACGCTGACCCCGATGGACATGGCGTTCCTGATGCGCGCGTGCAGTGACCTCGGCCTGTCGTACATGCGGGACGATCGCCAAGTGATCATCAAGGTGCCGGAGCTCATCGTCGGCATCATGCCCCTCATGCGGACGTATTATGAGGCGGTCTTTGCGGCGTACCTCAATGCGCCGATTCGGTCGCGCACCTTCACCGCCACGCCGGCCGCCGCGGCCGAGCGCCTCTCCCTGGCGTATGCCCGGTCGCGGTGTGTCTACCGGCTGACGCGCCTCGGCGTGCCGCAGGATGACGCGGCCATCGCCGAGGCCCTGGTCACGGTGGATGGTTCCCCGGGCCGGGATCTGGCCGACCTGCAGGCCGATCTGCCGTCCATCCGCCTGCCGGATGGGCAGAACATCGCCGGGCCCTTCACCCAGGGGCTGCACTACCTGCCGGCCAGCCAGTACCGGGACCTGGAGCGCCGGCCGGATTACCGGGCCCTGGTGGACCGCGTGTCGCTGGAGTACTACCGCGGCTTGCAGTGGGTCCTGTACTACTATTACCATGGGATTCCCAGCTGGGGCTGGTTCTTCCCGATGTACTATTCGCCGCTGATTTCGGACCTGGCCCGGGTGGAGCTCCTCCAGGAGCCGGCCCTGCGGTACTATTCGCACTTTGACTTGCAGCGTCCGCTGGACCCCTTCGAGCAGCTGCTGTCGGTGCTGCCGCCGGCTTCGGCGGCTCTGGTGCCGGAGGGCCTCCGGCCATTGATGAGCAGTGACCCGGCCCAGTCGCCGGTGGCGGACTTCTTCCCGGCCGACTTCCATGTGGATCTCAATGGCAAGATGAATGACTGGGAGTCGGTGGTGTTGGTGAATTTCATCGACATCGACCGGCTGCGAGAGGTGATGGCCCTTCCGATGTCCCGGCTGCCGAATGCCGTGCTCTCGCGCAACCAGAACTCCATGGAGTACTTTGTCTTCCGTCATGATCCGTCTGTGTCGTATGAGCTGGCGCTGCTGGACACCGGGGTGTCGGCGGCCGATGGCGCGGCCCCGGCCCCGGGCATCCTCGGTGGCACCATCCAGACCATGGTGTCCAATATCGCGGTCCAGCGCCATGTCATGCGCTATGCCGAGCTCAATCGCCTGACGCCGATCCGGCACTTTGGCCTGCTGCCCGGGGTCCGGCTGGGTGCCGATGCGCCGCTCGGCCTGCCGACCTTCCACTCGCTGGCCGTGCGCAAGCAGATGATCTTCATGTCTCGGCGTGGGCAGACCGCCAAGAATGAGACATTGGCCTTGCGCCTGCCGACGCTGCAGTTCATCCTGCCCGGCACCGGGGCCGCCCGGTCGGACTTCCAGGAGGCCGCGCAGGAGCAGGGCGCCGCCGGGGCCCTGGGCACCGGTGGGCCTGGCCAGTCGACGCCGGCCGCCCCGCTGGATGGGGCCTTCATGTCCAGCCAGCGGAACTTCCACCTGGCCGGGCTGGGGAGCCTGTGCTACTATTCGTGGCCGGTGCTGCGTGCCGGCCAGCTGGTGGGCATCGTGGACATCAGCAGTGGCCATCTGTTTACCCCGTCGGCGGTGAATCCCCTTTCCGGGCTGAGCGCCAGCGGGGCCCCGGAGGAGGGTGGCAGTGGCTCGGATGACGCCAGTGCCCGGCCCCTGGGCGGTGGCACTAAGAAGCAGCCGCCGGTCTATTGCTTCCAGCTTTGCCCGGAGCGGTTGCGCCATTTCCAGGACCACGCGGCCATCCTGAGCAATGCCTACAATGACCTGGCCATCCTGGCCGGCGAGCAGGTGGTTCAGCTGGCCGTCATCCGGCCATTTACCTCGAATGCCCTGCTGGTGACCGACGGCACCGAGGGGGCCGGGCTGGCGGGGGCGAGCCAGGCTGCCGAAGCCGGCGAGGGGGCCGAGGCGGCCGGGAATGCCGCCGGCGTCACCGGCGCCGGGTCGTCCCCCTCGGGGTCCCTGTCGACGGTCTTCTCGCCGTCCTTCTCGGCCGATGTGTCCCGGCTGGTGGTGTCCCCCTTGCAGTCGGTCATCCTCGGGAGCGACTGGTCGGACAGCCGGTTCCTGGCGCGCCCGCCCAAGACCATTGACCAGGCCTTCCCCATCGGGTCGACGGTGCTGCTGATGGGCAGCTCGCCGCAGCGGAACAACCGCCGCGCGCACATGCTCTCCTACAATGTGCAGCTGCCGAAGCACAATGTCACGGCCTCCTTCGGCCAGCTGGGCACGGTGCTGGGCTACCTGAAGAATGGCCATGTGGCGGTGGAGCTGTACACCCCCCCGCCGCCGAGCTACCTGCCGTGGGATGCCTCCATCGAGCCGAAGGTCGACACCAACCAGCACTGGGCCTCCTTCTTCCCGCTGATGAAGGTGGGCCAGCTGCTGAATGTGTCCACGTCGCTGATTCTGCGTGTGATCAGCCGCCTGCGGCTGGTCCTCCCGAATGAGGGCGGCGGGTCCGGCAGCTCGCGCAGCTCCCACCGGTCCATCGAAATCGGCCTCAACATGCGGGACTCCTTCATCCACGAGTACTCGCCGCTGTTCCTGCTGCCGACCCCGAACTACATCAAGGCCTTGAGCCGGGCTCGGGCCAGTGGCACGGTCCCGGCCCTGAGCCTCAAGAATGTGGAGTACCTCTTCACCAAGCCCGGGCTGGGCCTGCTGGCCCTCTACTTCGCCAACATCCGCCGGCTGTCGCCGCGCGTGGACCTGCGCAGCATCCGCATCGACAAGAATTCGGTCCCGCTGCATGCGCTCTTCCCGAACATCGAGTCGGCGCGCCTCTTCCAGACCTGGGTCAACACCTCCTTCAACTCGCACTTCCGCGTGGCGGTCGGCTCGCAGTCTCTCAGCTCGTGGGACATCCAACGGCTGGCCGATGGCCGGAGTGTCTTGTACGTGTGTCCCCCTTGGCCGGGCTTCCCCCTCTCTTCCGCCATATGATGCGCGCGCTTGGTCACTTCCGTCCATCTCTCGCTGGCGGCGGCCGCGCTCGCCCGCTCTGCCTCTCTCTCTCTCTCTCTCTCTCTCTTTTTCTTTTTTTCCTTTTTTCCTTTTTTCCTTTTTTCCTTTTCTCTCTCTCCCTCTCTCTCTTTCTGTCGCGCGCACGCGCTGACTTGTGCCGTCCCCTCCCTTCTGCCTGTCCGCCCTTCTGCGGCCCCTGCTTCGCTCCTCCTTGGCAGCCAAATGTCCCCGACCCTTCCCCAGCACCAGCGCCCGCTGGTGTCGGTCCCGGCGGCATACCTCCTGTCGCAGGAGCAGGTCGACGAGGATCGCATTGTCTACCCCTCGCTGATGGTGGACCCGGACAATGAGCTGGCCCCCTGGTCGGTGTACCAGCCCATGCCGTACCTCCTGACGCGTGTGGCCATTGTCGGGACGGTGCCCAACCGGTCGGTGCCCTTCGGCACGGTGGGCACCGTGGTGGTGAACAACCCCCTCAACCGGACATCCATCATCCTGCTGGACCGGCCGCTGGACGCCACGCGCGCCTTCGCCACCAAGCAGCCGTCGGACATCGACTCGGTCGATCTGCTGAGCAATCACCTGTGCCCGAGCGCCGCCGGGTCCTTCGCCCTGCTGGGCCAGTGTGTGGAGAGTGTCCAGAGCCTGACGCACATTTCCTACAGCCTGGTGTCGGTTCCCTGGAGCAAGCTGCTGCTGCTGTACTACAGCAGCAATCGCCAGGTGGAGGTCCGCCACAAGGGCCGGCCACTGCTCTTCCCCGGGCTGAATGAGTACAGCCGTGCGGTCAAGCTGACCCCCAGCATCCAGAGCCTGCTGGCCGCGCGTGGGGGCAACTACCTGTCCCCCCGGTCGCTGAGTGTCTCGGAGTTGGTCAGCTCCAGCTCCATGCCGGTGCTGTACTCGCGCTTCCGGAGCACCGCCCTGGCTGGCGATCCGGATGGCGAGTTCATCCCCGACCGTGACCCCTTCCAGCTGTGGCTGGACATCCCGGAGTCCATCTCCAACCTGAACCTGGCCAGTGCCAATGCCGGGGCCAAGTCCTCGGATGGCTTTTCCGATGACGATGATGACGGTGATGATGGCCCGGTCGGCGCCGGCGATGGGGATGCCCCTGCTGCTGCCCCTGCTGCTGCTCCTGGTGCCCCGGTCTCCGAGCAACAGCAGCAGCAGCAGCAGCAGCAGCGCCCCTTCGCCCCGAAGTTGGTCACCCGCGATGGGGGGAGCTCGTCCCGTCGCCAGCCGCGCCCGGCTGGCAAGGGTCCTTCCGGCGGCGGCGGCGATCCCGCTCCGGCCCCTGCCAGCGGGCCCGCCGCCACCAGCCCCACCTTCGCCACGGAGTCGCAGCCGCAGTTCCTCAAGGGGGCTTCACATGCCTCCCGGGCGTCGAAGCCCAACCTGGTGGATGTGTTTGGCAAGTCCCCGCTTGTGCAGTCGTCCTTGACGGCGTCGCAGTCGGCCTCGCCGATGGCGGCCCCCGGGCGCCTGGTTCAGCGCCCCGCTCCCCCGGGCGCCGGCGGAAGCCCCACCGACTCGTCGACCAGCGGCTCGCCGCCCCCCGGTCAGCAGTCCGCCCGTGTGGCCATGCTCTTTGGCCCGCGTTCGCCCGGGTCCGGCTCCTCTGCCGGTGGGTCTCCCCCCAATGGCAGCCAGTGAGGGGAGAGAGATGGGCAGAGCGGGCATCGCCCTAAGCGGGGGGGGGGGGACGGGCGGGCGGGCGGGCGGCAACAGAGGCAAGCGGCTATTGCTCGCGTCTCTTCTCCTTGAGTCTACTTCTCGCCCCCCCCCCC